GAATCTTGTCGGTTTAAAATTCAACACTCATTAATTAGATGCTTAAATAATTAATAAATTCGGGACTAAAATACCACCATTTTAAAAAAAGGTTATAAGTACCACTAGTTGGTTTTTTATTAACAATATATCACATCATGTAATAATAAAGTCCGTAGCCTGAATATACTAATTAATCTTGCATACATATACATGTTCCATACTACAAAAGGTAACTCATAACTGGTGTCACGTTCTCAAATTAGTATCTAATTTAAAAGATTCTAACGAGTAACGACTCGCTCACAATAATAATGCTTCGGTTAAATCTAATGATTTATTTCTTCCCCGAAAAAACAATGGTTAAGTGATATTGACATGATTATTAATGCACTTACTTTACTTTACTTTATCAGCCATTAGTGTCCCACTGCTGGGCAAAGGCCTCCTTCCATTTCTTCCACTCCTGTCGTGAGCTATACCGGACCAATCCCTCAATTAAAGCACTAATATTACGAAAAAAAATATCGTAGAGCGCAACTTTAAATGTAGTAATGAAAATATCCATTAAAAAATAACCTTTTAACTCCTTTAGCATAACAAAACAACATAGTGTATAATCAAAAGTGAACTTCGAGTTTAGGGACTGTCCACCGCTTTTCCCGAAGTGGGTACACCGCGGGCCATTAGAGCACGCGCCGCCTGAAGATATTATGTCCCAATGACGAATGCCTCGACCTTTGCCGCGTTTTCTTTTGTTTAGGAAAGTGAAATGCTATTTGCGCGCCATTTTTCCCGCCGCGCTTGCATCGCGTGCGTCTCTTTTTTTTAGAACCATTTTTGGCAGTGACATGACGATGTTGCCATCATAATTTGACGTTGTTTAATAATAAGATTATTTGCAATGTTAAGTGTACACGCAATTTTTTTATGTACTGATTTAGTTAATTTATTTTTTATGTTAGAAGAATCCAAGTGATTTGGCGGTTCACCTGTGATGTTAAGTGATGACCGCCGCCCGTGAATATTTGCAACACACACGCAGGGTTGCAGACGTATAAAACTTCCAATTCAGCCGGTATTCTGCGAGGTCGTGGTATTTCCCGGTCTGACCTGACCATTCGCAACATGCAACAGCGAAGACTGTTGTGTTTTTTTTATGTGAAAAGTTACCAAGCGAGCAGACGACAGAAACGCGAAAGTATTATACTTCCACTTTACGCCGGTCTTCTGTGAGGTCGTGGTATTTACCCGGACGAGCCTGCCCATTAGTGCAACAGCCGAGGCTGCTGCGTGGCCCTACCACCGTTAATGTGTGGCAATACCACAGTAAGAGTGAAAGCCACAGCGAGACTGAAAATGAGTTTATGTAAGCTGTGGTGGCCTTGACATGTAATTTATATTGAGTAATTTAATTATGTTGTTCGTATTACTATAATGAGTGTTTTGGTTTTTAAAGCTTCTTGTATATTAGTTGAAACCTTACGATTGTGACCTAGGCCCCTAGCCGAGTGGCAACCGCTCCGTGTCGATTCGATATCGACAATTATTAACGCTTAGTCGATATCGATCGCTAATTGATAGACAAAGTTACGTCTGCGAACCGAACGACAAGTCGAATCGTTCATTCGCTAAATTTAACATTTTGGCTATGGATTCGTAATGAAACGTCAAACGTTACCCCCAACATTTCGTCCACTCTTTCCATTTTTTGCCGGCAATTACATCTTTGACGACGTAACCACACACTTTCACTACGTGCCGCCCGTAGAAAACGTACAATGTATGTATTTTTATTAAAAAAAAAAAAAAAAACAAATCATAAACGATAAACGACACCGACAGTCTAAATAACAATCAGACATTTAATTTTTTTTTTTGCTTTTGGTCCAAACGTTCGCTAAGTTGTCGATCAATCGATTCGATATCTCAGCGATATCGCTTGTCTAGATCGCCACTTGTCTACGCATTTGTATGGGAATTGGGAATATGGAACCAGTCATTCGTTTACGTCATCGTTTCGTTACGCGATTTGACATTGTCTGCCACTTAGCGATCGAAAACAATTAATCACGTGACATTTCGAGAGCTTATGTCACTTCCATACATTTCGGATTTATCTAACTTCGCTATCGTTAACGAAAATGTGACTTTGTCTAGGCCCCCAGTTGTGTTTAGTGTGTAATTATACACACAAGTAACTATATTAAATTCTGCTTAATACGGCATTAGACAGACTATTAATATATTCTTGATTAACATGTTTGACAGTAGTGTGTACCAAATTTTTTTTTAAATGAATAAAGTAAACAACCATTCGGCATACTGAAATATATACCTATACGTTGAAGTCCTTGCGACTTTCATAATATAGCTCGAAACAATTGCATCCGCACTTACAGAGCTCAATTTACACTAAACTCAAATTTAATTCTTTTGAATAAAGTGGAGTGCTAAAAAAATAAAATAGTCTCCAGCTAGACTTGGAAGAAGTGAGTGCCGTTTAAAATGAAATTGGTAGGGCGCGCGCCTCAAAGCAACAGTTGCACGCGCAAGACGCACAGATAATAAAACATTTCCCCCGAAGGAAAATTCACCTTGACGCGCCGAGACTGGCCATCGGCATCGCATCGCCAGCCAGTGAGCCGCGAACCATCATATCGAGAGCACGGGCGCGGGAAACCGCCGCTTTCCCGCGCGTCGCGTAAACAAAGCCATTGTTCTTTTTAATCTGTGCTCGCTAATTCGCCGCAGTCCGCGCGATTTCGGGATTGATAACAATCGTTTCAAATATAAAAAACTACTCGGAAAAATTGTTGCATAAACATATTACGGAAATCAAAGTATATTATTATTTAGGTATTGTATCGTGTCACGTTCGATTTCGCGATTTTTGTAATCTATCGTCCACCTGTTGGGAATCTTTTTGACTGTTAAAAATACCGCAAAACTGATTAAAAACTTTCAGGAGTAAAAATAAAATTATCAAATCGATTGTATATTATAACGTCGTACTTAGGCATTTATTATGTGTTGTATTTTCGGACGTTTTTTTTTATCGAGTGTACGTTTGTTGGGAATCTTTTGAAACTGTTTTTTGTGAGTCTGTCCTTTATGTTTTCACTGAAGCTTAGTTGCTTCAAAGAAAACATAAATGAAGGCTAAAGTTTATAAGATGGAGCCGCGTAAGATTCTAAGATTCGACCTTACAGAAATAGAAAAAAATTGTTAACAAAAAATTTTATAATTAGCAATAAAAAAATTACAACGACTTTCTCTTAACGCTTCGCGAAGCATCTTAAATTTCTGGGCAATTAAATTCGGAACAATCATAATTTAAATTGTGAAATAAAATTAAATTGCGATATAAAATTAAAACAGCGATAATGTCGGATTGTAATTTTTGTTTCCTCAACGGATTTATTTAAAACGTAACTGTATAACGGTATTTATAAATATTACGGTGCGTTATATTCCTAATTAATGTCGTCGCACGCAACGCTCAACAAATATATCAATGATTATATAGTTTGATCCATTAATTTTGACTACGAATACAAATGAAAATCATTCAGAAACTTCTTTGGTCGAATTATCTTGAAAACATTTGCTCTAATGTAAATTGAGAGTTCTGTTCAGTATCGTGAAAAATCGATCGACGAAGTCTTTTCGACGAGGGTGTGGGTTCGATCCCCAATATTTGATAAATATTTTGTGATGAAAGTTTTTTTTTCCTAGTGTCTGGGTGATTATATATCTATAATATCTATTGAAAAAATATTACATTACATTACATTTATAGTACAAGCTTTGCTCAGTTTTGGAATAGGTAATATTGTGTAAATAGATGTCCTGAAAATATGTATTTATGACAAAGCGATGCGTGATAGAAACTTCACCGGTCTTTCGTGACAGTAATAACGAACAAAACCGCGTCTTTCGCTTATTTCGTGCTCTTCCGCTCGATTTGTAATACAAGTCTGGATAGGTGTGTTGTGCACTTTTTTATTTGTTAAAACGGCGCCCTTTCCGATAGTCTTAGTTAATTTGAAATGTTAATTTATTTAGTTCACGCCCAACCTCGAGCACCGTTTACCTCAAAAGGTTAAACTAGTTCAATATAAATTTAAAACGATAAATCCACTAGCTAGAAGCGCGAAAGGTGGAAAAACATGGTGCAGTAGAAAAAGGGAACGAAAAGATTTTTGCCGTTGCGGGCATCTAACCAACGCCTTCCGGATTCGTACCCAGATGCTCCAACCACTAAGCTAAACGGCCGATTGCCATAGAAAATCTCAGTCTTTTTATCTACATAGCAATTTTTTCGCATTTCAAGCAATGCTTGGCGCATATATTTTTATATCCTTTACGAAACCGTAGGAAGGCCGTTGCAGGTGCCGACTCAATAATTTATGACGATTGGTCCCTCACGCGACAATCGCAGAGAAAAGTTTAAATAAAAATCGAAATCTAAGCAACTCGCGAATACATTCCCCTTGCGATCATAAGTATTCTTGTTAGTACAACAAAAATCTACCGAGATTCCGCAGTTGAATATCTTATGTAACGTTGAGTATACAACAGGTGGGCCATCCGTTGCGTCAATTTCGATGCGCGTGCGATATTACTTTGCGACGGTGCAACGCCATCTATCGTAAGGCAGTGCAGTCGGGAAAAGCGCGCGTTTTTTTTTTCGGAGGATATCCGCTTATCCGTTTATGTTCGATCTCGCCCCGCAGTTATATTCAAGGCGACGTTTTCGCATTCAGGCGCTCTGTCAGCCGGAGCGTTCGGCGTCGCAAAACTCAGACCCAGTGACAATGTCTCCTCGCGGGGAGTGTGTCCAAATGTGCGCACCGCGCGCGGCGAGTGAGTGACAACGCGACAAGATGTCACCGGACAAGCGCAAAACGTTCGCCCTGTACAGTGACCGCAAGCCGTCTAGCAGGACTCGCAAGCTATTCAACAAGACTGATTGTTCCGATCTCAAGTTACACTAGTGCTCAATTCCGTCAACGAAGATGATCGCCCTGAAGAAGCTGTACGGCGACGAGCTGCTGCGGCTGGCGCTGGTGCTCAGCCTGCTCAAGTCCAACCCGGACGAGTACCTCCACAACGAGGCGCTACAGCTCACCGCCGGGCTGAACATATCCGACGGCTCGGATTGGTCCTTCGAGCCGGAGGCGCGCACGCTGATACGGCCGCGCCATGTCCACCCCAAGTCGCTCGACAGCGTGCTGCTCAGCTACGAGCGGCAGCTGTTCGAGGAGCTGCACTCGCTCGGCCGCTACGGCGACCGCTACGCGGAGAACGCGGCGCGCGTCCGTAGCGGCGTGCTGCACACGTATCTACTGAACGACGTGTCGACGGACACAGTCGCGCCGGTGCTGTCGCCGGCGCAGGTGGCCGACGCGGCGCCCGACGGCGTCTCCGCCGACGAGAACGTCGCCCAGGAGGTGAAGGTGGACGGCGAGGGGGCGGAGGGGGGCGCGGCGGCCGCAGCGGACCTGGTGGTGACGCTGTCCGCGGACTTCTTCGAGAACCGCACCGAGTCGGACGTGTTCGCCGAGATCGCGTCGCGGTCGTTCGACGTGAACGAGCTGTTAGTGCCGCCGGCCGAGATGCGGATCAAGAGCGAGCCCCGTGAGCCCCGCGAGCCGCCCGAACTGGACGTGAGGGTGAAAGTGGAGCGCGACAGCGAGGACCTCTACAGCGACAACGCCATAGACGAGTTCGTGCCGTACTTCAGCGCGAAGACCGGGCGCCTGGAGGCGGGCGGGCCGCACTCGGTGTACCACGAGAACCTGGCCGACCTGCGCGACTACAACGAGATGTTAGAGGACACGAAGGGGCTGCGGAACGAGCTGGAGCTCGACGTGAAGCAGCAGCAGGAGAACCTGGAGCAGTACCTGCTGGAGAACACGCCCCTGGACGCGGAGGTGTACGAGCTGGCGCCGATGTTCGAGGAGGAGCTGGTGCTGGACGTGAAGAGGGAGAGGGCGAGCACGAGTTTCACGTCGGCGAGCTCCAGCGGCGTGAGCGAGATGGACACATCGTCGAAGGACAGCCCCGACGTGAAACTGGAGCCGGACGAGGGGCACCACAGCGGGGACGAGCTGACGCAGGAGGTAAGGGAACTAATTTTAGGAAGGAATTGTTTACTAGGGAAGTTTTCTAGGGGGTAGGAACCGAAACTTGCTAAATGCCTCCCGTTTTCCTAAACGGGAGGCATTTAGCAAGTTTCGGTTCGAATTTAGTGAATTTTACGAGCGGCTTAGTCTTTAGCCGATTTCGAAAAAGGAGAAGGTTTGTTTTCTCGTTTTCACAGAGCTCTGTCATTTGTGAATCGATTTGATTTTTTTTTGCGTAGGGTTCTGTTTATCTCCCACGTGGTCCCATATTAATTTCATTAGACCTTGGGCTTTGAAATCAGACCAGGGAACTCTTCAAAATAAAATAGAAAAAGTATGTGGGTCACTCAAATACTTGTTTCGTGCGGGAATCGAACCCACGGCCCCTGACGCCAAAGCCAATACTCGTAGCTTAGCAACGGCCCCAACGACTGACCAGCAGCATCGCTCTCTGATACTCTACCTTTTCATCAGATGTCGATATAAATGACAATTATTATTTTCACGTCTTAGTAATGTTATTGTCTCTGGTATCGAGTATTTATGAGCAGCGGTGGTTTCTCATGGAAATGAAAATAACAAGTGATCTACTGCGAAGGAAAACATGAATACAAACTGCGTGAAGTCTCGATTAAAACGTATTCATTATAAGCCTAGTCTATTCTCACGTTTTTTTTTCGAAGTACAGTAATAACAGTGAAATTCTTATCGACTTTATACCACACATTATTTAATCTATGATCGATAGATAAATATTGTCTGATCGATCCGGGATTAAATCATCTCTGAAACTTCTAATCCCTCTTCATTATATTGTACGAGGTTTTATTTAAGTCGCTTATTGTTTTCTCTAAAAATTAAAACTAGTGAAGTCTGCTCAGTGATATGTCAAATTTTCGCGCCATTTTTTTCGCGCGTCCATTTTAAATAGAACAATAATCTAGGATAACTTTTCTATTATTTTTATTTTCTGTATTAATTATACATGATTGTATAGTATGAATGTTTTTCAAACTTTATATTTGCTGCTGCGTGATATATATATATATATATATATATATATATATATACTAAAAATTTTTTTTAATTAATATTTTTTAATATCGTTCCTAAATGTGTTGGGCAATGCACTTTAAGTATATAATTTAAAAATAGACTCGTTTTAAATGATTATTTCGTGGTGGCAACGTTGACGGTGGCCGCATAATGTCTTTCCGTTATTTAGTGGCGACTGAATGTTTTTCATTACAATTGTAAAGTTACCGATTTGACATTTGACACGTGCCCCGGGTAATGGCGGACGGGGAATATATTATAAAATTGTTTTGACAGTGGCGCGTCGATTTGTTTCTCAACTAATTTCTTTCATGCAGAAATTATTGCTTGTATATTTTTTATTTAGTTACTTATTCAAAAAGTTTCGCCAAATGCATACATAATTCGCTTGCATTTTCGAAGCTCGTTAAATTAATCTAAATTAAAAAAAAGAAGCCAGATATAGAAAAGATTAATATATAAAGCAAGACTGGTAAATAAATTTAAGACTAAAAATAAAAATACAACGTTTTAAATTTTAAGAAACTCCCTGACACAAAAATTAATATATCTACTATACGAACCATCTCGATCACGCCACCTTTGGAACGCCCCATGATTACACGTCGGGGCTTAAAAATAGGAAATACAGCATTATAAATAAAAAAATATAATTATCATAAAATTATTATCATTAAAAAATACATTACCCTACTTCTTAAGTACAAGAATAATATCGCTTTAATCAAACTAAAATCTATTAAATATATTTTTTCTCAGATTTGTTTATTTGTTGTCAGGATGCCATAACTTCGATAATCCTTCACGAAATTTAATGATTCAAACATTTCAAATGTTTGCCTTCTGGCGAAAAATAATAGACTAATGGAATAAAGTTAGCGTTTTCATTGAGAAAAATACCATTTCATTGAAAATTATTTATGATAACGCCATCTATTGGCAATTTGTTTAAATGAAAGCTAGCGGAGTAGAGAGCCGTGAAGGAGAACATGAGAAATCCAATATTTTTTTGGAATATTAATGACAAAAAAAATGTTTCGACGATATGTGAAGTCCGCCAAAGGCCGAGGACTATGCCGTAATACCCTCGTAGAGAGCCTGTGCATGTCATGTTCCAATGCGCCCAGCATGGGCTATTACTTTACAAGTAGCAAATATTTTAATCCATACTAATATTTTAAATGCGAAAGTAACTCTGTCTGTCTGTCTCGCTTTCACGCCAAAACTACTGAACCGATTTAAATGAAATGTGGTACACAAATGGTCCAGTGTCTGAGAAAAGACATAGGCTATTTTTCAGTTGGAAAAAGGGTTATAAAGCGGTCTTAAAGATATAGATATTGATTTAAGGGCTTCAACGGGAGCGAAGCCGCGGGAAAAGCTAGTTATCCATATAGATATGTTTTTGTGTTTCGGTGTTGCCGGAAGGTGCCGTGCGTTTTTAATGTATAGTCTATACCGTTTATCGCTAAATAGGCGAGCTGCGGTTGTTGGCTTCCTACGTAGATATACACACGGCCGGTTGGCATATAACATCAAACCTTATTTCAAGGACTGTAGTTTGGACGATATTCATTGAAATTGTTTTCGAATTTAAGGTTGAACATAACTAATTTACGCACGGTTTCGAGTTTAATTTCGGATATGATGACAGATAGTTGTGTCGCATCTGGGTGTTTGTCGTTTGTCCGCGTGAAATTTATGCGTGTAAAACGTCCTTACAACGAAGGATAATGTAATCCTAAAGTAAGGGCAAATTTTTAAAAAAAGAGCAAAAAAGAGAAAAAGATTAATTTCCTAGTAGGGGGTTCTCATTTAATTATTTAGTAATAATTGTATTATTAGTATTAATTTGATGAAATGAATTCGTCATATTAAACTTCTTTAAAAATATTTATTTATTTATAATATTTTACATGCCTGTTTGTGTACCTACAAAGTATAAAACAAAGTCGCCCGCTGTCTGTCTGTCTCTATGTATGCTTAGATCTTTAGAACTACGCAAAGGATCTTGATGCGTTTTTTTTACTAGATAGAGTGATTCAAGAGGAAGGTTTATATGTATAATACATTGCACCTATACGAAGGCGGACAGGGTCGCAAGTAAACTTATACAGGGAGGCTTTTCTAAGTGTATCCATTTTTTTTTATTAAATTCTAAGACATAAATAATGTTATATGAAAATGATAAATATTTTAAATCACTCGTAATTAATTATTTACATTCTAAAATCGGTCCAGCCGATTAGGAGTTCAGCGAATATACACATGCACAGAAGAGTTATATCTATACAGGTAAATAAAACTGGAGTGTCTGTTTGTAATATTAATATAAGCGCTTTTCACTAAATGCATATGGATGTATACACGGTACTATATACCAAAATAACACTTTTTTAAATTTTTGTCTGTCTGTCTGTCTGTTTGTTCCGGCTAATGTTTGAAACGGCTGGACCGATTTGGACGGGACTTTCACTGGCTGATAGCTGATGTAATAAGGAGTGACTTAAGTAACTTTTATGTTAGATTTTTTTTATTTTAAATTCCACGCAGACTAATTCGCGGGCACAGCTAGTATACATATAAAGATATACCATTATTCATTATCATTCACCTGCCCTTATGCCACCTAGGTGGGGTCGGCAATACATGTGAATCATGTTATCAATCGTTTTTTTACGGCCGCCCGCCCGGCTTCAACCCCCCTTGGGAGACAAACAGAACATCCGGAACAATAATCTGTGGGTCACACAAACACTTGTCCCGTGTGGGAATCGAACCCACGACCCCCGACGACGAACCCAATACCTTGGCGAATTCGCCACGGAATCATCGTAAAATAAACATATCGTACTAGCTGCTGCTCGCGACTACGTCTGCGTAGAATAGGCTGAAGGCGTAAAATTCAGACAGAAAGACACATATACAAAAAAAATATGTATATAAATTATAGCCTATGTGTTATTCTGATGTATAAGCTATATTATTGTAAAGTTTCATTAAAATCTACTCGTTAGTATTTGCGTGAAAGAGTAACAAACATCCATCCATACATACAAACTTTGGCCTTTATAATATTAGCAAGGATTCGTATATTTTGGCATGTCTGAATTCAAATTTAGACCAAAGGGGGAGACGGTGCCTTATTTGAGGGAGGCTGGGGGTCGACGGCGCGTCTCCCGTATCCTAACAAACCCAGGAAAGTGCATCACCCTAATGTCTGAATCGATATCGCATAAAGTTAACAGAATAACAGAATCCATTGTTACATTGTTACATTGTTAATCGAAACGGACTTTATGGAGTACATCGGGCTTTTATTTTAACCGTCATCGTTTTGAGCGCTTGTCTTACAATGTTTTTTATACGTTTGTAACCTTCTAATTTGTACATATAATAAAAATGTAGGTAAATGATCGTTGTCTGTACATGGAAGATATTAGAGAAAAACTATTATCGGGGGCCTTTATCAGCGCAATAGAACCCAAAACAGTGATTTTTGAAGTGAAAACTTTTAGCGCGGTACGCATATTTTTAGATGATATAAAATCACTGGACTCGCGATAGCGTTACGAGACGCTATAGTGTGTGTGCTTAATTGAATTTTTGAATAGAGAATTTGATTTTGGAATGTCCAATCCAATACATGATTAAATCAAATACATACACATATACACTAATGTATACGTACTTATAGAAATTATTTTATTTTATACATTATACATTTATAATGTACAATCTTCATTTTACCCCGCTCTTGAATCACAATCTCTTCAAGAGACATTCAATAATAGATGGAATATATCCCTTCCACGTGCAAGGAGAATGAGTAAAACCGAGCCATGAGAACACGAATGACGTTGTATGGCCTAACCCACCGTACAGAGTCTTTGCCCAGCAGTGTTTGTAAACCAAATTCAACACTGGTCCGTATTGGATAC